GGGACCCCTGCCCCATCTCCCTGTCCCCTGACTGCCCCCAGAACCCCTGCCCCTGACTGCCCCCTGCTGCCCCATCCAACCCCCTCTCTCCTTCCTGACTGCCCCCCCCGGGACCCCTGCCCTCATTCAACCCCTCCCAGTTCTCCCCCCGACCGCCCCAACCCCTACCCACACCCCTGCCCCCTGACCACCACCCCGAACTCCCCTGCCCTCTATCCAACCACCCCTACTCTGTGCCCCCCTTACCGCGCTGCCTGGAGCACCGGTGGCTGGCGGCGCTACAGCCGCGCTGCCCGGCTGGAGCCGGGCCATGCCGCCACCGCCACCACGCAGCACAGAGACTGGGTCAGGCCGGGCTCTGCAGCTGCGCTGCCCCAGGAGCTCGCAGCCCAGAGCATTGCGCCGGCGGTGGAGTGAGTGAGCTGAGGCTGCGGGGGAGAGAGAACAGCGGGGGAGGGACCAGTGTTAGCCTCCCAGGACAGGAGCTCGGGGGCTAGGCAGGACGGTTCTGGGGGCCGAATGTGGCCCGCGGGCCGTAGTTTGCCCACCTCTGCACTGGATCATCTATCATCCTGAGGGCGTGGGCTACTGAAGCAGCCTGAGGCAAAAGCTTCCCTCTTCTTGCATGAAAATGAGAAACTTCTCACTATGTTCCAGGTCCCTGCAGTGTCTCACTCCTTTCTAAGCCATCTTTCACAGGGGTTTAGTATTCAAACTTTCTGAATAGATGCTGCCAAATTAGCCTCACCTACTGGACTATAGGATACAGAAGTCCAAGAGATCAGTACGGTGCTCTGATCTAAATCCAATATTCTCTCAGGCTGGAAGCCACAATTCTATTTTCGAGCAATAACTTTTAAAATTTCTCCACCACTTTCACCAGATATGATTGAATGATTTGGAGCAGACTGAGTATGTGAGCAGGAGTTTGCCTTTTGTTAAGTTATATCCCAATATATGCAATCTAAATTATTTAATGGTCCTTTTTAAAAGTAAGATTTTTCTATGCTTGTATAGTTGGGTTGTTTTTAATGGGAAAACATACTATATAATCTCTTCACCTGTTTAATGACTGGTAACTTGTAATATAGAAAAGAAAGGGAGATTCATGTAACCCCACGGTATCTACCAAAACGGTAATGAAGCGTTCTGTGTGTCGGAGTTAAAGTTTTACTGTTTGTCCGTTTAATTCTGATTTATGTGAGAAGTCATGATACATTTTAGTGCTTGGGAACAGAATATTTACTCCTTGTTACAGTTTACATAAAACAACAATTATATCAGATCTCTATTGTTGGCTCCCATAATGTGCTAGTTGCTCATCAGCTGTTGTAATTAAACATTCATTCGTATTAAATTGAGCATACATACAAGACCTGGTACATCAATCTGCTCTTAAGAGCACATTTTCTGGTACACAGAACATAACAGCAATGTATTTCTCCCGTGCTGCTGTACAGACTAGGTACATTTTATACCACTGTTACAAACACATATTTTGTTAAAAGGGACACTAGAAGAATTTGGCAGCAATAAGAGGTTTGAACTGCATTTTCAGAGTGTTAGTGAGCAATACATAATGAATCAAAATAGCAAGTATGAAACCTTTTCAAAATGTTTAAGTATTGTTGTCATATATGGTACTGCCTTCATTCTGTAAACTGCAAAACCGATATAAAGCATCAGTTAATTGAATCTAAACAGACATTTTTGTAATAAGTCAATTTTCCTCGTATTTGTCTCCATCATGCTGTAATTTACTGTTTTGCAAAATATGCACTGGAGTTTGAGAGTGAAGAGATATCCCAGTGGCTCTTTGGTTGAAGATAAATACATTACCCTTGACACGTTCATGAAGTCTAGGACTGTGACAAAGGAGAATGACAAGCAATAGACACCTTCAGCCCCTTGAATCAGGTCATATTATTTAGGGGGTCCACATCTCTCTAATATCAAATTGTTCCATAGGTCCACGTAAAAGAAGGGGTCCCTCTAAGCAAACTCTGGGGGTCTAGAGCCCACTCTTGTAAATCAATTCTTATGCAAATAGTCCCACTAAAGTCGATGGGTATATGTCACATGAGAAAAAGTTTGAGACTGCGTCCGAGGACACTAATTCACTTATTTCAATTTTAACTAGATTTAAAAAGTGACACTGTCTAATTTTTTTTAAATCTAGTCCAATCCTGCAAACCTTACTCATGCAAGTAGTCCCACTGAACTCATGAGGCTATTTGCATGGGTAATGAATACTTATGTGAGTAAGAGTTGGCAGGAACAGGTCGTTTTTCCATGCATTTCTAAAGACACTTAAGATATTAAAACATCTAATTTTTTTAACCTTGATATTATTTTTACATTTCCACTAAGCTTGGACAATGAAAATTGATTAGTCAGTTTCACTTTATTTTTCATGCAGTAGCACTATGGTAAAATGTTTGGGATGCAAAATCTTATTTTCACTGATTTAAAGAAAAATACAAAACCTAAAATTAATAGAAATTATGATTTAATATGCAAAATTGAATTTAAACGTATATATAGCTTCTAATATCTTAAAACAGCATATACATTTAAAATAAAAAGTTTTTAAATTTATAATTGAATTTAAAAATTAGGAAGACTTACCATTAACAGCTTTTTCATAATTTTTCCCCAGGTTTATTACATTCCGTAGCCCAGGATTGAACTGTTCCATAACATTCTGATGATCAGAAAAAAAAAACCACATTATAACAAAGAAAACTCAGTGCACGCAATAAGTACATGAAAAAGCTGATTTGAGTCGCCACAGCATAAGCCAGCACTTGTCTACATTGCAATTAAAAACCTGTGGCTGGCCCGTGTCAGCTGACTTGAGCTTGTGGGACTTGGGTTAGCGGGCTGTTCAACTGCAGTGTAGACATTCAGGCTTGGGCTGGAGTCTGAACTCTGGGACTCTGAGAGAGAAGAGCGTCACAGAATTTGGGCGCCAGCCAGTGCCTGAACATCTACACTGCAATTAAATAGCATCCCTAGCCCTGTGAGCCCAAGACAGCTGATGCAGGCCAGTTGTGGGTTTTTAATTGCAGTGTAGACATACAGGATTTTAATCTCAGATGCAAGGCACATATTGAAAATCTGCTATTGTGGATGTTTGACCTCCACAGTGAATTTTTTTTGGATGCTGGGCATTCAAGATTAGGATATCAGTGCAAAATTAACCTCTGGCCTAAGCAGTGCAACACTTCCAATTTCAATGGATTTGTGCTCACTTAAAACAGAGATGAATCTGACCTTTTCTCTAACCTTGGTAAGAGTGCTCATACAATCAAGACTAAAGTTTACACAGATCCTTCTTTAATGAGGGAGAGAGGGAGAAGCAGGAGAGAAGGGAAATCCCTTTTCTCCACTACTACCTAAATACTTTAAGACAAAGAAAGACTACTGGCTACTATTCAGAATTTGGATATTCCTTCAAAAAGAAAAAATACTTTTGAGTTTTCTGACTAGACAGGTGACTTGGAGATGAGTTAACACCTTCCAATCAAAAACAATACAGCGATGGCCCTACTGAAAGGTTTTTTGTTTTGTTTTTTTGGTGAGTCACAGCATGGCATTTTGAAAGAGTAGTTCACACATTCAATTTGAAAGCTCAATGTATTGTATGGCGTCAGCCCAATTTGAGCGATAATACTTCCTCCAAAAAGTAAAATGAGAATTACTGGCTACCTTCAACGCAAAACAAAAACAACAACAAAACGACTACAGCTGCTTTTGAATGTTGTTACAATTATTTTGGCTGGAGCAACTAAGACTAGAAATCCAAAAACACATAGTATGGCTGCCTTCATAACCACCAAATTCTAACAATAGGTGAAGTGGCAGAGATTGTGAAACTGTCATTCACAATTCAGGAAAATAGCTGCATTGGTCCAATTTAGAAAAAAGTAACCATTCATTGAGATCCAGTTTTAAACACTCCAAATTTTAGAAATGCCTCCCCTGTCGAAAAGTGGAAGGAGAACAAAACAAGATATTCAAAAGTGCCCATTGATTTTTCGGTGCCAAAAGATGAGACATATTGAAGAGGCCTGATTTTTCAGAACATCCATCCTTGGAAAATCTGGCCCTTTAAAGGTGTCTCAAATTGGGTAATAAAATGGATGCACCCAATATTACTAATTACTTTTGAAAAAGTTGGGTCTGGTGTTTAGCTACTTGGTAGGTTGCTTGAACCAATGGATTTATGTGGTTGTGGTTTAACTGTAATTCAGATAGTTACCCCATTTATGTTTGAAAAGAAAAGGTACAGAAGGAAAAGAGGAGTAGTTGATCTTGCATTCCTTACTCATGCTAAACTTCCACTGATGTAAACAAAACTTATGCCTGAGCAAACAACACAGGACTGGCTATATTTATCATATTACTGGTCATTTTAAGCTAAGTAGTTTCAATATTATGACTCTGTTTTCCCCTTGTATGTCAAATACAATTCCCCATACATGTACTTTTAAAGGAATTTCCTCTTGATATCCACAAATACTGAGCAATTAATGAAAAGAAGAACAGGAGGACTTGTGGCACCTTAGAGACTAACAAATTTATTAGAGCATAAGCTTTCGTGGACTACAGCCCACTTCTGTAGAAGTGGGCTGTAGTCCACGAAAGCTTATGCTCTAATAAATTTGTTAGTCTCTAAGGTGCCACAAGTCCTCCTGTTCTTCTTTTTGCGGATACAGACTAACACGGCTGCTACTCTGAAACTGAGCAATTAATCTTCACAATATATACTTTTATTTGAATATATATACACACACACACACACACACACACACATACACACACACACACACACCTCTACCTCAATATAACACTACCCGATATAACACGAATTCTGATATAATGCGGTAAAGCAGTGCTCCGGGGGGGTGGGGCTGCGCACTCTGGCAAATCAAAGCAAGTTCGATATAACGCGGTTTCACCTATAACGCGGTAAAATTTTTTGGCTCCTGAGGACAGCATTATATTGAGGTATATATAAGCGGCGTGGGCCGAGGGATGTGCTGGCTGCGGCTTCCCGCCACCCCCATTGGCCCAGGACGGCGAACCGCGGCCAGTGGGGGCCGTGATTGGCCAAACCTGCCGCGTCAGCAGGTAAATAAACTGGCCCGGCCCGCTAGGGTGCTTACCCTGGCGAGCTGCGTGCCGAACGTTGCCGACCCCTGATATATTTAAAATGCTAATTTTTGTGAATCACTGAGATTTTGCAATGTTTATAATTTCAAATTACCTCAAGCACTCTACAAGCACTTATTATGCCAAAGCAATGCTATAACTCAAATATCACATGTGAAGGAAAATGAAATGGAGAGAAATATAAAATTATATTGTATTAGTTCTGCACTATCAATTTTAAATTGAACAGTTTTAAAAATTTCCCATCTTTTTCAGATTTTTTCTCTCTGTGATGGCTTGTATAGGATCTGTTTTGACATCAACTTATACATATGTTACTGAAAATTGTTCTGCAAGTCCATTATTTTTTGTTTAAAAGCAACCTTTCCATTTTCTGACATATTTTTGTAATGTTACATCAAGTACAAAAAGAACAGAGACTTTTACAAAAATAAGTGTTACAGGTTCTGAGAGAACCTAGAAAAAAAGACCTACTAATAAACTCTGAAATCTGCCAAGAAAATCTACAAATCCGACAGTGCTACATTACAAACCACTAGAAACAAACAAGGATCATTACATATCTGAAAACTCACATAGTAATTGAACAAAGGAGTCTGACCTGAAACACTGGCATCTTTTTAGATGTTAGTCAAATAAATGTACTTTGAAACTCAAGGTGTTCAAAATAAACACCTTCTGTTTAACAAAAAGAACAGACAACAATGAAAAAATTTTAATCTTTTGCGTGCTGTACTGGTAATATACTGGCAAACGTGTGTCTATTTAGTATATGCATAGACCAAGAGAATGTTCTAAACATTCTAAAATTTAAAAAAAATTGGGAAGAAAAAAAACAAAAACAAAATTGTCTCTTAAGGCTATTCAGACATCATAAAGAAAAAAAGAAGCCTTTTTTACAAAGCATCAATCCACAATGAAATCTAGTTAATTTATAAAGTAAAGAATGAGTTAAAATCAGTCTCAAGTACCACCTCACTTGTGTTTTTATGGTCCTATTTTCCTTTTTCTAAAAAAAACCCATGCAGAGAACAGAAGAAACTAGATGACTGCACATGTGAAACAATTAAAGTGATTGATACACGCAATGATGTTAAACTGGAGAGAGAGAGAAAAAAACATTTCCCCTATATTGTTTTGTTATAATCTTGAGTGTTTCTTGTAACTGCGAGTAGATTATTTTCAAACTCACTCTTTTATACATTCAGTAGTCACAGATTCTACTAATAACATTTAAAATATATATGACTGTTTATATTTTGTTGAAATGAGAAAATTATAGGGTTTAGATACTGCAGTGCTTACTCATGCACAGCTCTCACTGAAGGCACACTGTAATAAGGCATCCTAAGGACGTGTATACAAATGTATAGCAGTGACTAATGTCATACTAAAGCCCTGTCAGACAAGTCTGTTTTGTAATAGTAAAAGAATTATAGCATGTTTCTGTTTACCCACTTGAAAGCATTTTTCTTACAGAATTAGACTCCATCCATCAGTAATTCACCATGTTGACATCAGAACCAACAAGACTTAAATGGATATCTTCTGAACTTTTCCCTCTCTAGTAATGCAATATTTTATTTAACAAAGATGCACACATGTACACACATACACGAGCCACTGAATACATTTATTTTTCTCTTTAACATACCGACTTGGCCCAGGTACTCTCATTGCTAGGAAAACATAGCAAGGAAATGTTGATTATCCCCAATGCCTCACTTTGAGTGGGCAATGTAACCGCTTCCCTCCGGCAAGCGGTTGCTAGACACATGATCATGAAACCTACTTTTAGTACTGATAAAGTTCCCAGTTATTGCCACAACTCTGACCTTCCACTTCTGTGTAATGGTATTAAAAAGTTTGTGGCCTGCAACCGCAGTGCCATTAGTCCTTATACTTCTTTGATAACTTTCAATTTGGCTTTCAAACTGGGTAGACAAAGACTGTACTAGCTTCATTGTTCATCTCTTCCTAGAAACAGACAGAAGTCCGGGGCCATAGTATTTTTTTCCCCATCCATAAGTAGATTTCAGTACCATTGACCATTAGATTTTGTTGACTCTCTGCAGACACTGGGAAGTATAGACAAGATTATGATAGAAGAGTAAGTCCACTTAAGTATAGAGTGTTCTCAAGAAGAGTTCCGCTATATCACCCTTTCTGCTCATGGTATATATGAGGCTATGGGGAAAGCCTGAGAATTTGGCCTGCATTAATGAAAGACACAACTCGTGGATCTTTTCTCTAATAGACCCAGATGTGGCTGGAAGCCTTTGCACTGCCACAGCAGTTGACTGTTAGCAGAAGTGCCCCAGCCAGTCTCTAGATTTTAATGTTTGAGGGATGAGACAGGACATTCCCAATGGAAGGTCCTATGCTCTGGAATTTGCTTGTTTGATTCAATGCATTGGCCATAGTTAATTGACATTCATGGAACAGTGGAAAGCTCATCTATTTTCCTCACGCTTTTGTCGAAGGGGATGGTTGGTGGGAATGTTCAGCATTACTTTGAGGGTTTGG